CTGTTGAAGGACGACTTACCCCAGCGCCCCTCCTCTGCCTACCGCGCCAGCAGCGGGGGCCCGGGGGGCATCCGTTACAGCCAGACCCCTCAGATCAGCCGCAGCCAGTCAGCCGCCTACTACCCAGTCTCCGAACATGTACTGGAACGCGCTAACGCCATGCCCCCCTGCCAGTTGGGCTCTCCTGAGATCCCCCATATGGTGCGGCGTCCTGTCAGTGCCAACACGACTGAGATGAAGCAGCACGTGCCCACCCCCCGGCCCCTCATCCACTCTCAAAGCGTCGGCCTTCGATTCTCCCCGTCTAGCAACAACATCTCAACCGGGTCCACCACGAATTTAGCGCCGGGCTTCAGGCCGTCCTCGTCCATTCAGCAGATGGAGATCCCCCTGCAGGCTTCATACGAGCGCTCCTGTGATGACATCTCCCCCATCTCCCCTTCCCAGGGCGGCGGTGGGCTCTATCAAGGCGAAACTACCCGCTCCAGGAACACCCCCTTCATGGGCATCATAGACAAGACAGCGAGGACTCAGCAGTACCTGCACCAGCCCTCGCGGTCTAGGGCCATGACGTCCATGGACTCCGCCATCAGCCCCACCTCCCCCGGCCAGCTGGTCCAGCAAGGCTCCACCTACAGCCCCCCTGCCTCCTTGGGCAACATCGCCTACTACAACAAGACAAACAACGCCCAAAACGGACACCTGTTGGAAGAGGACTACTACGCCCAAACCCAGCCTCCCTCGCTGGGCAAGCTGGCCAACGGCTCCCGCGGCGGAGGAGAAGTCATGGAGCGGGTAAGCCAGGTGCCCACCTACCCTGACGTGAAGGTGGCGAGGACTCTCCCTGTGGCTCAGGCCTACCAGGACAACATGTACCGCCAGCTTTCACGTGACTCCCGGACCCAAGGCCCCACCTCCCCCATCAAACCAAAGAGACCATTTGTGGAGTCGAATGTGTGATAGCCGGTCTGTGATTGGTCGGCTGGACTTAGTCTGTTGCTAAGAGTGAAAAGAAAAATATTTAGACATGAACAAACTCATCTCAAAGAACTCAAACGAGACTGATCCAGGAAGAGAGGAACCACACAGCCGGCACACACACTTAGGGTATTAGACATTATCTTATAAAAAAACATAAACAGAGAGAACCATTATTTCATTATCATATTCTGCACACGTGGAGGAGAACAGGAGGGTCCTACGCTCTGAATCAAAGACCAGTGCACTTCCAAAACGTTGCGAGGCACAAAGCTCCCACAGGTGAACACAACAGGTGGGACAGAAAGTAATCATCGGACTCTACTCGTGGACTCTGTATCCATCTTCTGTTCTTTCAAAGTGTGCTCTTAACCAAGGTTGCTTGTAGGCTCTATTCTATGTAATACAATATTATATGTTCAATACTGTACATTGCTCAGAAAATACAAACAGCTCAACAACTCAGTACTTAGAGAAAAATGACAATATTTATAATTAAGTTATATATTGTACATAGAAATGAAACAAACATAGTTTGCGTTTGAATTGTATTCTGTTAACCCTGCCTTTGTGTCATATGGATGTGAAAACTGATCAGGGTGAGGGAAGAGGGACATGGACCAACTTTAAACGATTAAATCACAACTTGATCATTTTATAATTTCATTTAAAAAAGCTGCAATAGGTCCTTTTTTTCTGATTTTACATTACAACTATTTTGTTCCCTGATTTTGTTGCTGTTTTCCTGTTTAACACCACAGAAAAGTAAAATGTCCATCTATCTATTATCTATACTGCTTATTTGGTTTGAGGTCGGTAAAAAGCGGAAAGGACACTAGTCTTTTAGAGGGCTGACCTACAAGACAATCACTCACACTCACACCTGCGGGTGATTTAAAGTCATTCATTAACCTAATGAGCGTGTCTGTGGACTCTGAGAGGAAGCCCATCATGCAGAGGGAGAACATGTAAACTCCACACAGAAAGCAGGAGGCTGTTGCTGTGAGGCGACAGTGCTAACCACAGTGCAGTGAAACACGCCTTTTACAATGTCCAGTGGTCCACAGCGACATATTTGAGTGTTGGGCCATTCTGTATCATCTCCAGATAGGCATGGTTTTGGTGAAACAAGTGGACATTCCTATGTTTCCTAATACTAAAATGTTCCTTTTTCCATTGGACACTGTTGGTCAGCAAGCCCATCGTAACATCAGTCACGAGTGCTTTAAATTTCTATAGAAACGTTTTTTGGAGCAAAAATTTTGCCATAAATCTCATTTTTAATCTTGCTGATGCGTTAAACCAAGATTTACTTTATTCCTGAGGTTAAGATTAACGAATCACGACTTTCTCATCTCCTTCAGTATCATTAATCCCATCAAACTGCATTTTCTAGCTTTGTCAACATGAAGGACCAACTCCTTATTAAAAAATGAGCACTTATGAACCTGCTTAAAATGCAAATTTTAAATGTAAAAAGTCAAAATATCAGTTGCTTTATTTTTTGAGACACTACAGAGCTTCTTAAACAAAGAAATTCACTCATCTGGACTAGTTTGTATCTTTTCTTTCAGTTTCTAGTCATCTAGAAATGAATAACAAAGGTAAAACAGTAAAAATAAAACATGTAGTTGGTGATTTTTGACTCAAAGTTGGCCGTTGTCCCTCCTCCGTACATAAAGACACTGTATGTTCCTCAGAGGGAGTAGTGATGGGTTAACATGGACAGTGCTCAGCGATTAAAAGCAAGCAAATGCATACACGACCACTGTTGCAGACCTTCCCCTTTCCCCTGCTTTATTTTGTGTCCTTTCTTTTTACCCACAATGCATTTTTATTCCTCCACTTCTGCACTAAAAATGCCTGTTAAGTTCTTAACTAAGGGTGCACTTTATGTATTTTTACTTACTTTGTTGTTATGGTTGTTGAATCTGGAGAAAGTGGGTGTGTGATCAGTCAGACCAGTGATAGCAGACTATCATGAGACTCTAATAATCTATGATTTACAAAGCAGTGATGAATGAAAACATGAAGAGCAAACAATGTTTTTAAACTGGTGAAGATGTATAGACTTTCTAGCACAAGATGTAAATACTGACTCAGATATTCCTCTCAGTCCAACGCGGGTTCAATAGATCATATTTAATTATTCTTACATCATAAAAAATATCCATATAAGTACTTTAACTCTAAATTAACCAGTCTAATCCTCTGGTTTTGCACACATGTGAAGATAAAGTTGACTCTACTGCAAAAAAATAAAGATTAACTGAGGTTTCAGTACCGAGAAGCTCCATATTTTGAGGCTGGATGTTATAGTAAGTGGAAAAATAAGAATATTCAAGTTGTTTATATATGTGGGGAGGTTATGGACCATTTGTCTGTAACATTTTATTTTGATTTCTCTGCGAAAGAATATCTAAAAAGGGATAAATCCTCCCGGTTCACCTGCTCCCAGAGAGATGCCCTGCTTATCTTTACAGAAATGAAGGTATAAACTGTACTATACTTAATTTAAACAAGAGGGTGTATGGTTTCAGCTGTGTGTGTGTATATTGGTTTGCTGTAAATAGTCTGATGCATGTTCTATTCTTTCCATGAGCTCAAGCAGAAACATGTATAGCAGTGTACTGGCTCTGGTGTGTGTGTGATACGATGATAAGGAGACTGCTAGCCCTGAACTATCCTTATCGTTTTCCTTCAAACCTCACCAGGCAAAACGCGAAAGGTTCTTTTCTTTTCTTTTAATGTGTTTGCTTGCTGAGCAGAGTTCTCTTGTCTGTAAATGTGAGCTTTCAGATCGCTGTGATAAAAAGTTTAATTAAAAACAATAAAAAAGAATGTGTTTTTATCTCATGATAACTGATTGTAATCTGTACAGTCAAACCTATGTATTGGGAAAAAAAGAACATATTTATAAATGGTTACAACTGAAAAAACACGCCCTGCATGTCAGTCATTATTTTAATTACGTATCAAACAAAAAGTAGAGTTTTATTCAGATTAGCACAACATTAGAGAAAAAACTTAAGCGTACTATGAAGCAAATTTGTCACTGTTTTTAAGTGTTTTTGATTTTAAGTTGTGCTTTTTTTATCCCCAAAGCCACTGTGAAGAGTTTTAGCTTGTTGTTAAATAGACTGCCATTCATATCAATGTCCTCTATATAACCTTCAAAAGCAAAAGAGGCCCTCAGGCTGAAGACTAAATATGTCGACAGACTTATTTTTAATGATTGAAACCACCAAAAAGTGCTGTAAATAGCCCTTTAGAAACTGTATTTTAGTGGTTCATTTTTCAGAAGACATATACTCACCATTATATTTGGTAAGATGCTCTTTGGTATCAATTTTGACATATGAAAAGCAACCATCAAAACTGTAAAAGGGTTTCTTCTGTTGTGTTGCAGTGTTTTAACCAGAAGATGGCGCTAAAAAGCAGACTGTAAGTCCCCTACTTCTCTTCTTATAACCCACATAATCATGCAGTCGAAGAAAATGGCAGTTTACCTAATATCAAAGGTGTAAACCTGACTAAAGTTCGACTAAAACATGGATACCTGGCGGGGTGGTGAAAACAGAAGGTACCAGAAGGAGCTACACAGCCGCACAGAAATAGCACATTGATCTACATAGCAGGATAATTCACACAGAAGCACACTTTTAACCACTGTGAACTGAATAATTATGCCTAAAAACTTACCAAGACGGCAATAGTGAAAGTCGTATTTCAAAAACACAAATTCTCATTCACTGTACGAAGCTACATTAAACTGACTCATATTGATTTATTTTTTTATCTTAAGAGTTTTACGAAATTATAAATCGCGTTTAACATAATATTTTCAAGATACAATGCGTGTTCGTGGAAGTTGTACAACTTTAGTCAAAAGCTAAAGCTAGCTTCTACTAGCTTAACGGACGCAAATCTATTAGCCAAAAAAACTGGTGATGGTTCAGGTGCATCGTGGGAAATGTAGGCACCAACTTTGACAAGGAAGATGAACACACAACGCAACTTGATAATGTTTCACCTTTTTTATTGCGTTTTAATTTGACCTTCTAATACAACATCGACATTATAGAAGTGCAGTGCTACATTGGTGGAATATTCATGACATTACAGTGCAATGTAAACACAGGAACTTAGAATTTAATCATGTAATTGTAACGTGTAATTGTATCATGTAATTGTAAGATAAATTTTGACCGCCATAAACCACTTTATGGACAATTTTTGGTCCTCAGATTGAGAGATGAGTCATTTTTCTGCTGTCTGAGCAACCTGATCCTGAAACAGTTGAAGGTCTAGGAGCTGAGGTTGTTCAAGTTAGAACAAATAGTCAACACAGTAAAAATAAACAAAAAAATTCTCCCACAACCTTTCTGAAGTAACACTGAAAAGCAAATGTATCATCATTTTGATGCACAGCACCTCGTTTTTTCAGCAAAACCTTAAAAGCAGGAAATACTATGAGATAACTCTTATTATTTTAACAGCATATACAGTACATTTTCTGCAAATAAGCAGTAGTTAAACATGTGATACAGTTTGAAGCTCACCTGCTTCACTGTAAAAAGGAAAAAACATGAAGGCATTGCTAAAGAGTCTCTCAAGTTCATTTGTGGCAAAGTTAAAAAATGAAACATAAACACCTCTAACCCAAAGCATTTGCATTAAATGTACATTTAGTTAGTATATACAGAAACTGGGGAGTGATCTGTCAAAATTGGAGGAGAAAACTCCTCAGAAATGGAGTGAAAATAGTCCCTAGTCCTTCCTCTTCTTGTGAGTGAAAAGGTGAACGAGTCCCGGCACAAGCACCATGACAATCTGAGGCACGATGACAAATTTGACAAAGAACAGGCCATAGAAGAGGCCCTGAGGTTGGATTGGGAGCGGCAGACGATTGACGTGGTACAGACCCATGGAGGAGAAGGCCAGGCACAAAGCTCGTGGGGCCCACGGCAGAGAATAACCACCAGGTTTCCAGTACTGAGCCAGCCCCAAACCCAGGAGAGCCCCACAATCTCGAGTCAAAGAGGAGAATGGGGCTGTGTCCAAACGGATCCACTCCTCATGGCTGCACCATTTCTCTGCCAGAGCAATAGACCTGCAAAAAAAGATAGATATGTCCTGTTTATTAAAAAAAACTTCTTGTGCACAAAACCTGAGTTTAATATGATTTCCAAAGACCCACCAGGAGAGGTTGATCCCCAGTTTCCGCAGTCCATCATGTAGCAACACAGTGCCCAGCAGCAAACCAAAGCTTAGGCCAAAGAAGAACAGCAGGGGGCGACCTTCTGGGACTCTGCGGCTCAGAATGACCCCCAAGATGATACCTGACAAAAATAATTTCAGTCAGTTTGAATAGAATATTGCAAATATTAAATTCCCTGCATGTCTGTGGCATTTCACACACTCAAAAAGGCTCTTTTCAGCTACACCTGTATACCTAGCTTGTAAGAGGAAGCTTAAACTAGAAGTATTTGTGTCACTATTTTCCATCACAGCAGGAAGCAGGAAGACACTGCAGCTGCTCAACTATGGTGTTCCAAGAAGAACAAGAAGGTGTACTCAGACCTGTAATAGAGCCAGCGACGACCTGATGAGGAAAGTGGGCAAGAATGAAAATCCTGGAGAGTCCGACGGCCACCAGCATTATCACATAGAGGAGGTAAGGAACAGCAGATAACAGCACACTGGGGGCACAAAGAGAAAGAGAGTTCATCATATCAGAGTCGGTTTTGTCTGATTTTCTGTTTCCAAATGCAAAAATCGCTTTTTTTTAATGCCGTCCACTCAAGCATACCTGTGGGTACGAGTGTACAGATACGACCCCAGTGAGGACACCACAACCCACCAGGCTGCTGCCGTCACCATCGCATGACCTGACGGACTCCCTGAGACACAAACATCAGATTTAGAGCTCTGACTGCAGGAAGTCTGTGGTCTCTCAGTGAGTGATTCATGCTGTGTTTGTCTTTGAGCTCTCCTCACCTGGACCAGTCTCACACGTGGAGGAAAACTGGCGAACTTGAGGCTGCTTGTTGACAAAAAGGCGTGATTCCCCGATCCACCAGAATGGCCGTTCCCCAAACAGCATCCTGGAAGAAACAAAATCACAAAATGTAATGTTTTACTGTGTTTGTTACAGTAACAGTAGTAAAGATGCATACTGCCACCTGCTGTACCTGAGGGTGTAACAACATGATCTTTAACAAAGTGTTAAAATCACATATTTGTGGCTGCACAGGAAAAAAAACAACAACCAAGCACTAAAATGAAAAAGACCTAAACCAAAACAAAGAATTTTCTATGTTTTTTAACAAAAAGCGAAACCTAAATTAAGTTTATAAGAACTTAAACAAAACAAAAATTCACAATATGATAAATAAATTAAATTAATGCACTTTCAAACAACATAAATAAATCTGAAAAACAAACGTGACATTAAAATGTAAAAAAACCATACTAAATTAAGGAATTTTCTATTTTTTTTAAACAAAAAGCGGAACCTAAATTAAGTTTATAAGAACTTAACTAAATCGAAGAATTTTCAACATAAAAATAAAAAATAAAATTATTTTTAGGAAGAAAAAGATAAGATTAATTTTTAAAAAATCAATCAACTTTTTTTAATTGAATTAAAAAAAAAATCAGCTATGATGTAAAAAAGGCCGCGAGATTCATATGTTTTTCTATAAGCTCCTGTGAGCAACTTTTGTTTGGTGTCAACTTTGATATCCTTCTTTGACAAAGCTGTCTTTTTGAGTCTGGCTTGTACACAGGTTGTCAGTGAACCTTGACCAAAAATTAACATCCTGCCTGTTTTAAAACAGACAAATTTCCCATTCATTAAAAATCATAATTATTAAAAAATGACAACTCTTTTGGCAGCTTGCAATTGATGAGTTGGTCTGAAACACACCGCCAGAATTGGTTTCAGACATTGTTAATGGACAGATGTCTGGATAATGGTCGTGTGTTTAAAGGTCAAACCGACACAAAATTCCATTATGTCTTGTAAAAGGTCATCCCAGCGGAGCTTTAAAACGAACGTGCCATAAAACCTCGTGCAAAGGCCGCCGGGTTGAATTGAAAAAGCAAGGTTCCGCTGCTTAATGTTTCGAGTAGAACAATAGACGAGGACGGAACGCATTTGCTTCCCCGGAAGCTGCGACGTCAACAGAATAAAATACAAAACTGCCTCAAAATTGAGTGTCAAATTGAGACATTTAAAAGATACAGAGCTAATTAACTGTGTTCACTTCCCTGTAGTTTACACAGTCTAATGATAAAAGAGCATTGCTAACATGCTTTTGACAGCATATAGTACAATAACACAGTTCAGCCTCACCATTTAAACACCAAATTCAGCCACTCCGATAAGGCCGCCACCCAGATCACTGCCACTCCGGCTCGTCTGCTGAGAAAATAAGTGAAGGGAAAGAGAAGCAGGAAGGCAGCTTTGGGGTCTCCTAGGTGTGTGACAAGTATCCAAAGTTTTTCTTGCGTCCTCGTCCTCTGCTGGAGACTCTCAGCCATCCAAATGCCTTGAGTGTAAATAGCCTCCATCCCGTGTCCTGCTCAAACCCATGTACTTTAGGAAAAATGACCAAAATGCTGTGCTGTTTATTTTCTGCTTCAGGATGTGCTGCAGTGTAGGCTGCAGTACCTTTGATGTCCAACAGGGAGAGCACGTTGACTGGGGGGAGGGAGACAAAGCCATAGATATATGTATATAAACGCTAGATGGTTTATGCACGCTGTTAACCTATGGCGGCCATTTTGCTACGGGACAATCGCCCACTCATTATTTTACAGTCTATAATAATAGTAATAATTACTTTATTTTTATAGCACTTTGAAAAACAGAATTTGACAGAGTGCTTTGACAAACAGTTGCAAAGCATCGGCACATGGAAATAAAAACAAATAAAAAACAAAAGCTCAGTTTAAAGGCCTCCGATTTGAAGGCCATTTTCATTTGCCATAAGTCTGTAAAAGTGAGTTTTTAAATTCGACGTAAAAGAAGTGACTGTCTCTGCATGCCTTATCTCTTTTGGCATGTTGTTTCAAAGTTGAGGAGTCTACAGTGCATGTAGGATTTAAATAACCATAGATTGCTTGATTTTAATTCCATTTTCGAACGGTTTGGTTTGTAACAAACCTCTGATGTTCCTGCATACTTAAGAATAATTTTAATCATGGATTTTCACAAATAAACATTAAGCAGATAGGTAGAGCAATAGCTATAGGCCTACATGCACAAGGCAGTTATATTAAATCATTTATATATAAAAAATTTAATAATTCCATGTATGTTATATTAGTAATATCTCTAAAGAAATCTAAAGAAAAGATATTAAAAATCTGACGTTTTAATATCTTTTAAAACGTTCACTGGTTTGAAGGAGCAAAAGTTATATGATAAAGAATTTTCCCCCTGATATGAACAGCTAAAAAAAATTAAAAAAGAAAGAAAACCCCTGTAAAGTTTTGCATAGCATAAATTATTTATTTATTTTAAGTTTCTTTTATGTTTCTGTTTGCTTGGTGTTCTCCACCACCATTATTTTATTCCGTGTCTAAACATGTATTGTCGCTGTCCCATATTGCTATGTATTTCTCACTGATATGTTATTTTAATATTGAAATTACTGTATTGAAATGATTCTGCTATGTTTGGAATTGTAATTTTGTTAACTCTGAAAAAAAGCATAAAAAAACTTTTAGTTTATGGTAAAATATAATAAAATATCGTTTTAACAATGCTCTGTTAACCTTTTAAAAAGAAAAATACTGGAGTAAGATGGCCGCCGTGTAAGGACGCCGGTGACTCCGCCTCGATTCATCTAGCCTTTCTTATATATATCTATGGACAAAGCCACATCATGTTTCTCAGGTTGATCAGAAAATGTTTAAATTAAAATACACAGAGTGAGGAAAAACTCCGAAAGATATTTTCAATCGTTTGGGTGAGATAATTTCCTTCAATGATGGATGTATTTAAATGTGTTAGAACAAACTACTAAGAAGACGTACGTCGACACGCCCATGTTCCGTCTCCCTACGACATCGCGTTGCTTTACGTAAGGCAGGCGCTCCGGTTTCCTGGCGGAGAAGATGGCGGCTCCTGGACCGGGGGAGTATTTCAGCGTCGGGAGCCATGTCTCTTGCCTCACCTGCTTGGGCCAGCGACTACAAGGAGAAGTGGTCGCGTTTGACTACCAGTCGAAGATGTTAACTCTGAGTATCCTTTGTTGGTTCGGAGCTGCGGACGGCTCGCTGGCCTGCCTGGCTGCACGGGCCTGTAGGGTAACCGAAAATATGTCAAACAGTGATCCGCGCAGGCGTAATTGGTGAAGCTGACTTCCAGATCTTTGTCCGTTTAAAATATCTTGAACTGCTACGAAGCCGCACAGCCATCCCTTAGATGCGGGAGCTAATGTCGGTGTTACCGGGTAATTTTACGGCTTTATGTTAGCCGCTGGGGAGGTTGCATGTGTTTTGAATCCACTCATTGTATTGCCAGCCCTCAACATGGATCAGCGGATCCTGCTCTGGCATCATGGCTGTGCGCTCTCAACAGGCACCAACCGTCGCTACAGTTAGCCCCCCCCTGCTAAACTGACATTCGCCGCACCTTTGCGCGTGCAATTCTCACGTCTTCTAGAACCCCAAACAGTCGGCTCGTGCTGCGGATGTTAAACGGTTGAGTTTAAAACACGGAGCTGAAGGGAGAGAGAGAGAGAGCGGGGTCCACCTCCTCCACGCTATACTAAACTGCTAACTCGGCTAACACGCTAACTTACGGTCAACCCCACACCGCCGCTAGTAGCTCAATTAACTGTATTAGCATTCCTGAGATTATCAACTGGGATTTTTTTTTACTATGCTTCATCCGATTCTGTAATTTTTTTGGAGATAATGAGGAGGATTCATTCTCATTTCTGCACGTTTCTGACCAGGGCTGGCATCATTTCATCCACCGTTAGCTCGCTGCTGGTTAACATGTCTACACCCATTCATGGTCAGACCCATAGACGGATGGGTGGACTCTAGAGATTCAACATTAATCCAAATGTTATAGGATACAGCTAACCGAGCAAATGGGGAAAACGTGAATGAATTGTATCACTTATAAAGAGAAATACACAAATGAGCTAAAATATTATGAATATCTGGGCAATCTGATGCAACCTAATACAACTGATTTATCTTAAAGTTTATTTTATGAAGAATATACGATTTTGTTTCATGTTGACATGAGCAGAGAGGTGATTTTTCGACTATTTTTTTATATTATAGAGGTAGCAAGTGGTGGTGTTGTACTAAAAAGGTGTTTCTTAGTTTTTGTCATGTAAATGGGATATAAAACATTTAAATATTTAAACAATCTGAATCATGAAAGAAAAAATTATCTAAGAATTGGGATGTGCTGATCAGCTTTTTGACCCTGATTCATTTTTTTATTTCTTATTTCAATAATTTGTATCATTAGGTGTCCTAATCTGATACTTGAATTCACCTCTATGAATGGGCTGCACATCTTCATGGTCTTGATACCCTCGTCAGTGGTCTCCTCTCAGGAAAGAGCATGTATTAGGGCCGTCAGGGTAGGGATGAAACCATGGCCGCCTTCTCAATCAGTCAGTGAAGCTGGGAGTGTTCATTTGCTTGTCATGTATCTTGATGTTTTATCAGTTTGGTAGTTTTAAACGCAGCTTCTTGGCTTTTTTTATACTGTTTCTGCTGCAACTCCTGCTCAGTTTACAATGGCTTATGGACATGATTAGAGGGAGACGATCATTTCAAATTGGCAAAAACACTCAGTATGGCTTTGATGTGATACATGAGATCGAGATGAGGACATCCTTCTGAAAAGTAAACACATCTAAGAGAAGCACAGGTGTAATTATGCATTACAACGCCAAAGTTGTAAATGTAATTGTGCGGTAGTAGTATCAACTTGATGGAGTGCAAACAGTGATCAGGGATTTGAGTAATTTCGTGTGCAAACCAAGTGCACTCAAGTGTTAATGTGCAAATGCTGTATACTGATCAAGTCTTACTGAAAATACCAAGGAGAAGGCACTACTTTGAAGTGATAGGATGAGAGTTGAGAGTTTGATAGAGACTAGCTGTTGTGCGGAGTTAAGCAGCTCCTGAGTCTGTAGGAGAAGGTGCATCACTGTCTGATGGTCACTGTCTGACAACCAGCAGGTTGTCAGGAGAGTAGTAAGTGTGATTCAGAATGGACACGTTTGTTGGGCGCCGCCTCTCCATCACTACTGAGTCCGCCGGCTTCAGACGAGAGTGTGTAACTTGTGTTGACAAGTTTTGCAACGTACATGCTGTCAAAGTGGCAGAGCCGCAGGATGCAACAGCGTGAATGAAGGTTATACAAAATAGAGCCGTGACAGTTTGCACCATATGTTTCTGTTGGTTTGAACGGCATGTCTTGGACGAATTAGTTGTTACATTCTTGATTTAAACACCCTAATGCTCACCCCTCCCATGGGGTAATGGTAAGGCCTTTGAGGACAAGAAGCCCCTGTAATGCACAAGTGTAATACTTGATTTTTGAACCACCACTCTATTTCTTTCTCTTCAATTTGCAGTTTGTACAGTTACTCACTAAATACACAAAAGCATATAGGTAGAAACATGGCAGTACAAGATGGTGGCTTCCGTTGAAGGGGACTTGCTCGTTTTAAGTCAACAAATCCAATACTTTACCTTTTCGGGTCATGGTACACTAATTTAAGAATATATCTGTTAGTGTCTTATCTCATTTCTACAAGTCTAATCTGCTAAACGCAGCGCACTGCACCTTTTTAAATGAGTTTTCATGTAAAAGCAGTAAAGTTAGTGATTGACATTTAGTATGCACATGTATTTTCACCTTTTTTAATGTCAAACTGTGATCCATTACTACACAACCTCTGTACTGTGAGTGTAAATCATGTACATAAATAGGTTACTTTAGTCGTGCACCAGTTTCCCCGCTTTACGAGCCATGTTTGTATTACAGTGGGGTAAAGTGGGGTCAATGCCTCCAGGCCCTGCTGTGTCAGGGTTTCTCAAAACCACAGATTCGTAGTGAGATAAATGCACATGAGCTCCCTGTTACTGGAAGTTCATGTTTGGATTTTCAAGGAGCAGTTTTTCACTCAAAAATGTCTCCCTTAGAATGAGGAAGAAGAAAAAAAAAACAGAAATGACCTCATTTGACTGTAAACCAGTGTGTTTCAGATTAAGATTCCAAGGTTGGATTTGTTATGTAATAATAAAGCATTCCATAAAGGAAGTCATATTGCATTTCACTTCATGGTTAAAGCTGTGTTTATTCTCATAGTGACTCGAAAGTGTCAGGTGTCACTTGTTTTACTGTTCTGTGAAATGGACATCATTTTAACACCTTCCCATTCAGTCTCAATTCATTATTAATACATGATTTCCAGAGGCGGCTGTACTGCCCTCTGTAGCTGCATCCTGTAACTGGCACCTCCTTTCACTGTCCGTGTAACTCAGCAGCCAGTGTTCACTCTATCATAAGGTCCTCTGTTCAGTGTCAGAGCCAGAGTCCGGGTTCATCCGGGGTCACTTTTCTGTAGTTCCTCTGTGCTGTGTCACTTTATCACCGTTCTTTTTGCCTTGACCGGAGTTCTCTCTCAGAATGTGCTTCCTCCAGCGGTAAGCCAAACCTCAACGACGTCATCCTGATCAACTTAGCCTATGTTTCCGATGTGGACATAATTAATGACCGCACTGAGACTCCACCCCCACTAGCATCACTGAATGTTAGCAAGGTAAGTCCATCAGCTTTGTCTCTGTCCTTCCATTGATGGTTCTGAGTGTAACCAGATGATTAATTTGATCGTCTCAAAGTCAAGGAAAGTGAGGCAGACTTGAAACATGTAACTAAAAGCTATTTCAAAATGAAAGCTGAGATTTAAGTCAGTAGTATGACCCACTCACAGTCTGTCCTTTTTAGAGATAAAATCTGAATGTTTACTCAGCTGCTTCTCAGGCCTGATAAAAACTTTTTCAAGTTTGTCATTACAGGAAATCTTGTTGATTTTCTCAGACAGCCGGGAAAGGAGGGGTTGTTATTTCTTACTGAAACTTGTGAATCAGTATCTTTGATTTACTTACTGCCACAGTGAGTCCTGGTTTAATAGTCCAGACCTGTGATTAGATATTCAGTCTAGAAATATCAACAACCGGGGATGCAGCCCCTGAATTTGGACACAAAAACAACAAAAGACGTTTCCAGCTGGACCTGTCTCTTGGCAAAAAAAACAACTAGTATTGTATTGGCTCTGATCTGACCCGTAGGTTTTCCCTTGAAATTCATCTGAAAACAGCAGGATATTTCAGTTTTACCATCATTTACTATTTATTTGCCAACCCAGTGGACGGCAGTTAACTTTCCCCAAAGTGCAACAAGGTTACGACACCTGTAGCAGAGTCATGATGCTTTTTTTAAAGAAAACTGCTGCAGATGGTCGAGAAATCTGGCCTGGTGGTGTGTCCAAGGATGATGAGCACCGGAGTAGGTCACTGAAAACTGATAGATTTTCCCTTTAGCAGACCTGCCTCCCATTTGATAGTTTGCAGACTATTAACGTCTTCATTCAGTAAGAAATTGATGCTAACACTTTACTTGAAGCCTCTCTCTGTAACGCATTATGAATATATGTATAATGCGTTATTATCATTATTCATATATTTTTAATACGTTATAGATAGAGATGTCAAGTAAAGTCTTACCAAATTAATTTTTTATCACTGAAAGTCGTTTTATTTATTTCTTCTGTATTGGCTGCATTTACGTGAGTTTTTGTAAACAGCTGATCTCACTTTCCTGATGGGTTTTGCTCTATCAAAGCTGACATGTGAATGTCTATAGAAATTCAGTTAAATGAGATATTTAAAACTTCAAATAAGAGGGATTAATTTGTCGTGGCAGTTGCCAATGCAAATGAGATTCCTGGAGCCGAGTGAGCGTTGTCGAGTCATTTACTGGACCGCAATGGAGACAAGAGATGAAAATGTCCAGACTTGTCCTTTTTTTTTTTTACGATTTAAAAAAAACAATCTGTTCCCAGTTCAAAGCTGTCAAAATAAATAATGCCTGTTTTAAAAAAAGCCTTTTGTTCTCTTCTTCTCTTCACAGCTTGCCAATCGAGCACGGACAGAAAAGGAGGACAAGCTGTCCCAAGCCTATGCAATCAGTGCTGGGGTTTCTGTGGAGGGCCAACAGCTATTCCAGACTATTCACAAAACGTAAGAGCTGCATACCATCACCACAGTTCTCTAATGTACATGTTCTCTGTAAAAAAAAAAAAAAATCCAGCATGCAAGCTTTTACTATCATTAAATTTGAGGCCCAATGTCAATAAAGCAAGTACAGAAGATGAAGCGATGCTGATATTCAAATCAAGTATGCCATCTGTTATTATCTGCATCGTCCAATCCAAAAGCCTTCCTTAAGAGAGAAGTCAGATCTGGAAGAATACAAGAGAAGTCCGTGTTCAAAGACTCCTCAAGACTATCAGACCTGATTAAAAGCACAAACCAACACCTGCTGCTGCAGCACACTGCTCCAAAACTTAACAAGAAGCTGCTGCTTTAAAAACACACAGTATATGTGCTTTTTTTCTGGCACCCCACAGTCGTGTCTGTCTTAATTTGCACATGCTATTCCTGCAGTGATTATAATGCATCATGGGATTTGGAGCTGGTAGAAAGTCCTGCAGCTACAGAGAAGAACCTCTCTTTATTAGAGTGAAATGATGGCGTGAAGAAGCCAGAGGGTTTGTCATTTTTAAAACGCAAAAGACAAGATGTGGACAAATATCTCACCGCTCTGCTGGCTGTGATTGTACGTCCTTTAAAGTAGGGATGTTCCCAGCAGTTAATTTTACTGACGTTTAAACGACCATTTTGAAACCGAATATTCGAATACACGAAAATTAATTAACTCCCAGAAAATAGCCCAAATTGAGCACATGTCCATCTATATGGCCAGATATCATCTGAAATAAATATTAAGAGTACATGAAACCAATGCTTATAATATTAAAATATGTTACAGAATCTTATTTTAGAATGACATAAAGTAGGTGAAAGATCAGCCTGAGCCATGAGCACACTTTATCAAAATCAAAATACTCCCAAACTTTGCTCTTTTTTTCTCACCGACATCGCACTGGCTGATCGCACGTGTTGATTTACTCTGAGGAAGTTAACCCACGATGCCATCCATGCTGCAGGCCAGCGCTGCGAGCCCAGAGCATCGAGCCAGGCAGAAAGAGTCGCACGCAAATGATCCACGCATTTTAGCTTGTTTAATGCACCTTTTATCAAGACATGATGGTAAAAACGTAATTAAAAAAGAAGCTTTTTTTCCGCTTTTTTCCGCTTTTCTTTTCTGTTTTTTTAAATAGAATAAACAAATATTCTTTACTAACCGGATAGTAAGGACAGCCCCGTTTACACGAATAACCGCGCACATCCCTAGGACAAATATCTCACTGCTCTGTTGGCTGTGATTGTACATCCTGTAAAACTCCAGTGCAGATAGTTTAACTTCTTTTTGATATTCTTATTTTGCTGCATTAAAATCCGTTATGTTTTGGGGGTTCAGACTGTTCTGGGTGTGATGAATTGGCTCCAGCATGTCCTTGAAAATGAGGACACTAACTTCAGTAATTCGCTCCGGCAATTTGAGCCCATTTTAGACTCGTCTTTGCAGCGTCCTTCTGTAGTTGTCCCACACACTCATATTCATGTGAGACAGTCATCGGTCACAGCATGATGAAGAACCTCATTGATTATTAAACGAGCTGTGATCTTGCTCTTCCTTTTTTACTGGAATAGACTGTTTAATCAACTATGAGTCATGTTGGTTTGTGTTCCTCTCTTTCACTGTGACTAATTTGACAACTGAACTTTCCTTTCATGAGCTCCAGTTTCACTTTGACAAAGTTCCACCCTCTACGTGACAAATGTGTATACAGACAGCTTAACTTGGCACTCGAGCGGTATGCACTTGTGCAGCATGTTACATCATTTTCATACGGAAATGACCATATAGCGCTGAATAGTTATCATCGCAGTCAGGAGATTTCTAAGAACTGGATCATCTTGTTTCTTCGTTCTGAATTGTGTCTTTAACCAGTAAAAAGTTCCTCTCTGCTTCGGATTAAACGTGAACTTCTCTTTGCAGCATCAAAGACTGTAAATGGCAGGAGAAGAACATTATTGTGATGGACGACGTCGTAATCTCGCCGCCTTACCAGGTTGAGAACTGCAAAGGCAAAGAGGGAAGCGCTTTAAGTCATGTACGCAAAATAGTAAGTATGATTTTTGTATCTACACACAACAAACAACATCATATCTCTGTGGGTGCAACAAAAAATACTCAACAGTCTCTTCTGATGCTTCATTTTTAGCTGCAATGAAGAAATAAACAACTTTTTAGCTTCAATGCATTAAATTTGTCTTTACTCTTTAATAAATGACCAACATAAGGTAAGTAAGAGAAGACAAAACAGCAAATTGGTTAATGATTTAGTATCACAGTTTTCTGCAGGTGTCTAAACTGAAACAAAAGCCTCATAAAGACGGACAAATGTTCAATATCGTGGCTAAATCCAGACAGGCATTGTGTCTCTGTCAACCTTCAAAAACGTGGCGTGGTTGAATTTAGCTTCACCGTAGCATCTGCTGCTGCTTGTCAATCAGCTGGCAACCTTTCCGGCGTTGCACCTGCCACCTGCTGCTAAGTTTACGAGAAGCAAAGCCGAATGAAGCACAGGCGTTAATGTTCAGGCTCTGTTTGTGCTGCAGGTGTACAAGTTTTCTCTGTTAGATTTCATGTCCAAACGTCACCAACACAAGAGACTGATTCTTGATACCCAAGCCCAGGTCACAGAGTCGTCAGTCATTGTTTAGGGTTCTGGATTTCCAAGTTGTAAACATAAATGGAGATGTATTTCTATCCATACTGATACCATTATTAAGACTCCTTATTAGGGTTAATCGATGTGGATTATTAGGGGAGAAAAAAATCTGATTACCCGTTAATCGAACAATTAAGAAGTGAAACTGAATCTTATTCTCTGCATTTTATCTCTGTAAATATCGGCGAAAATCAGCGAGTTTTGGCTGATTACCGATTAGTCTCAAACGGGCAAAAATTGGCCGATTTAATCAGCTCGCCGATAAATCGGTCCGGCCCTACTCCTTATTGATTCAAGTCCTTATCAAGTCTTTTCTATTCTTGTTTTCCTTCATGCTGTTTTATTAATACAGATTTTTATTCCTGACATTTGATTTTTGTCAGCAGCTGATCACCAGAATTCTTCTTTATGTAGCTGAATGCCTGTTCGCTGACAGTCTATTGACATGTGCGCACCACTGGCTAAATTAACAGGACATAATTTGACTAAAACAGAGTTAACTCAGTAAAAAAGCTACTTCATGTTCCCCTCGGGACTCGTTAGCAGACATTATAAGCTCAAACATTATTGATTTATGGGTTCTAGCAAACGGTAAACTGGTCCAGCCTCATTCATAGATCCAGTAATCGATCCCTGTCCCTAATCATTGCTGGATTATCTCGTTAAGTTGAAGTCTTGCTTCCATACTGCAGGACAAATTCATGAATGAAAAACAGCGACGTCCTTGAGAAGAATTATCACTCGCTCTCAAGTTTCAGTTTCCAATCTTCTACTGTTTTTTATTTTGAAAGACAAGTCCCTCTCTACTCATTTACACAGACCAGTCAGTATCTGTACAACTTCTCAGCTGTGCTTGACATGATATTATTGAGATTTTTGTAACTGTTCTGACACAATGATGTAAGTTTTCTTCACATGAGCTCCAACACTGTTCACCAACTGTCAAAGTTTCTAGTGCAGCCTCAAACGCTGCATCAGCTGCTCCAGTTCCTCGATAAATGCATGTAATTTTAGATCATTTTTCTATATTGTTGCTGCTCATGTTCCTCATCAGTGTCTCGTTTTCGTCCCCGCAGGTTGAGAAACATTTTAGAGACTTGGAAAGTCAGAAGTCCATGCAACGTTCACAAGCACAGCAAACACAGAAGGACTCCACTTTATCTTCTTGAGTTGGCAGTGTGGGTCGGCCGGGGAAGGCGACGCGGGTGGTTTTGTTCCCACTGCCAGACTAAGTCGGCATTCCTTGTCCTCAGTCTGAGACCACAAGGAGGAGCGCTGAGGGCCCTGGATCCAGAAGATCAAAATACCATTAAATGAAAAAGACAAAAAAGAAAGAGGAAAGATTAAATCTTAAATTAGACTTTATAAAGAATAATTTAAACATGAACCATAAAGCAACCATAGTTTCCTTAACTAACTTGTCTCATTCTGCCCCCACTCCTCCCCCCCTCCCCTTGAAACCTTTTCTTTTTCCGCCCTCCTTCCTTTGCCTTCAGTTCCATTTCAAAAAGAGAAAACTAGAGCAGTCAGAAAGGCTTGTTAGCTTTATTTTCTGTCATTGTTTCCTTTTTTTGCTGTATCCATGTTCTACTGTCTGTATTTTCTGTATTTTAAAAACAAAATGTGACTTGAAATGCCACACTTTAAAGGACATTTTCTAAAATAAAAGTAACAAAAATTCTGACTGTAATTTTCAACAACTTTTTCAAGGTCTCGTGCACTCAGAAACAACAGAAATGTGAAAGGATGAAGGTTGCATTTTACTTTTTTTTTAAAACTCCACCTTGACTCCTCCCCCCGTCCCGACTGTGACGGATCAGGCAGCCACATTTTCCACATTCTTGAGTCTTTTAGATTACTGCGAGCATTCCCGGAGCTTCTGTTTGGGAGACAAAGTTGATGCATCTCTGTAACCACAGAAAACTGAAACCATCACTGTTTGAAATTAATTATTTCAATGTTTTAAGCCTCTGGATTCTCCAAAGCTGCTTGATGGTATTTACTGCTGCTCTCTGAGCGCTAAAAAGCACTAAATGGGAAATCCTCTGTACAAAGCCTTTACTCAAACATGTATTCTGCTGACTAAGTTAACTGGATACTTGGAATGGTAACTCTGGGTTTAGTGAAAGTGCATCAAAATGTTAAGTTCACTCACATTGTGTGGTTTTTGTTTGGTCTGCAGATAGAAATTCAACGATTTATTGGTTAGTTTTCTAAATTCCAGTCATGGTTTACAGGATTTTTTAGCGCCTACACTTACAAATGTGAGGCTGAGTCCCTCAAAAGAAAAGATTGGAAGGTGTTTGTGAGAGAGTGTGTGAGCAACAGTTCAACAATTTCAGAATAATGTTTAAGATTAAATCCATTAAAAGACAGGAACCCTGGAGAAATCTAAAGACGAAAAAGCTAAAAAACCAGTACTGGATGTGTTTTCAGGTCCTCAAGTGGCTTGGTGTCAACACCAGACAAGACTCTGTAGTGGAAATCACTGATTGGGCTTTGTAAAAAATAAAAAATAAATGTGAGTTAAACCTCTACCAGGTAAAGAAACCACAAATATTCATGATCCAGAAATGCTGGAGACTTCTTTGGATTGATTTCCAACTATCTTGGAGTCAGACGGATCAAAGTTTGACTCTATTCTTGGCTCTTAAGCGGAGAGACATCTGGGGAACAATTATGAAGATTTTAGTGCAACATATGCTGCCGATTCCTTTTTGGATTACACTGCAAGAAAACAGTGAACAGTATGGCTCTGTAGTAGAAGAGTCCTGAACCGGGCAAAAGAAGAGCAGATGAAATCCTGTGTCAGACATTTTACCTTCAAAACTCCAGAGAGTGGTCTCCTCAGCTCCTAAGCATTTACAGTATTGTTGAATTAAGAGGTTAACGCCACACGATGATCCATCTTCTTAAAATTCATTGAAAGTAACAAATTTAAAATGAACCTATCTCTCATATCAGGTCTAAATGTTCCAGGTTCCCAAGATAGATCAAGTTTTACAAAGTCCAAATAATCCTGTCCTGCAGAAATACCAACAGACAGACAGACAGTAAATGCTCCAGCTAAAAAAACAGCTTAATGTGTCTAAATATAGCTGCAGATGGTAATTCTTTTTTCAGGAATCAGTCCAAAAAAGACCAGGTTGTTCCCCCGATATGTTTATAGTTTGTGATTATCTGCTTAAGCCCATAATCCCGCTCTAATCATGAATATTCAACGTCTGCTCAGCTCGTGGAGTGTTGACTGAGATGACAGCAGCGTCACGACATTAACACAGGTCCTCGTGGTTCTCACAGGTTTATTTTTGAGGGAAATTCCACTCGGGAGGGTAAGGATGCCTTTCAGGAGGAGTGATCAGACTCTGATTTAGACGGAAGATGCTTCCTGGTGGGTGTTCCCTCCTCTGTCTGATCCCTCTCCTCCTAAATGCGTCCTTTGGCTTCAAGTTGTGTCCCACTGACTGCTTTTGCTACGAGTCTTCATCTCTGGTGGACTGTCAGGCTCGGGGTCTGGCCCGGGTCCCTCCTAGTATCCCTCACAGCACCTGGATGCTGGATTTAGTTGGGAACAGGTTGACGGAGGTACGCAGCAGATCCTTTGTAGGGCTGTGGTCTTTGAGGATCCTCCTGATGTCCAACAACAGCATCCAGACTCTGCAGCCACAGGTACAGAACAAAGCAGTGTGCCTCTAATCTTTTATTCTTATTTATTTTATTTGAGCATGAACAAAGACAGAATCAAAGCTTTGTGATTGGAGTATCATGAAATAAATCAAGTCTTTTATTTGCAAATCAGTTCAAACTATAATTTTGTTATCCTGTGATGATTTGGAGGGAAAAAAGTTCTCTTAGATCACCAAATGTTTGCTGTCGGCAGCCAACGGGGAAAAGTGAATAGACTGTGATTAAATATATGAGCTCCCTATTTATGCAGAACATGTAAACAGTCTTAGTTTAAATAAAACCAGATATATTTCTACTGTCCAGTCTTCACAAGTGTTTTCAAAACTAAATTTAATCGTGGCTTAGTGGGAGCCAGTCATGTGATTTAGGTACAACAGTCTTAAACAGAGCTAGAGCCCCATAGAGCACCCACGGGTCGCACTGTAAGATAAAAATGTCATAGTATAGTATGTTAAAAGGATCATATAATAGTATAACAAATATCGTAGTATAGTGTGATAAAAATGTCAAAGTGTATGATATAAACTTCAAAGAAAGAAAATAAATTATGAAGAATATGTCATAGTAAAGTATGTTTAAAATTTCAAAATTTAGTAAAAAAAATATTCAAATTTTTGTGAGAAAAAAGTGTCATAGTATAGTATGATAAAAATGTCATAGTATAGTATGATAAAAAATATCATAGTATAGTATGATAAAAAATGTCATAGTATAGTATGATAAAAAGTGTCATAGAATATTATGATAAAAATGTCATAGTATAGTATGTTGAAAATTCACAATTTAGTAGAAATTTTTTTTACAATTTTTGTGTGAAAAAAAAATCATAGTATTGTATGATAAAAATGTCATAGTATAGTATGATAAAAAAAATCACAATTTAGTAGGAAATTTTTTTTACAATTTTTGTGAGAAAAAAATATTGTATTGTATGATAAAATTGTCATAGTATCGTATGTTAAAAAATTTACAATTTAGTAGGAATTTGTTTTTACAATTTTTGTGAGAAAAAAGTGTCATAGTATAGTATGATAAAAATTGTCATAGTATAGTATGATAAAAATGTCATAGTATAGTATGATAAAAATGTCATAGTATAGTATGATAAAAAATGTCATAGTGTAGTATGCTAAAAATGTCATAGTATAGTATGATAAAAAATGTCATAGTATAGTATGATAAAAATGTCATAGTATAGTATGTTAAAAATGTCATAGTATAGTATGTTAAAAAAATTCACAATTTAGTAGGAATTTTTTTTTCAATTTTTGTGTGAAAAAAGTGTCATAGTATAGTATGATAAAAATGTCATAGTATAGTATGTTAAAAAATTCACAATTTAGTAGGAAATTTTTTTAGAACTTTTTGTGAAAAAAATATAGTATTGTATGATAAAAATTTCATAGTATAGTATGATAAAAAAATCACAATTTAGTAGGAAATTTTTATTACAATTTTTGTAAAAAAAATATATTGTGAGAAAAGTGTCATAGTATAGGATGATAAAAATGTCATAGTATAGTATGTTAAAAAAATTCACAATTTAGTAGGAATTTTTTTTTACAATTTTTGTGAGAAAAGTGTCATAGTGTAGTATGATAAAAATGTCATAGTATAGTATGTTAAAAAAATTCACAATTTAGAAGGAAAAAAATGCTTTTTTTGTGTGAAAAAAAACTTCATAGTATAGTATGTTAAAATGTTATATTTCAGTAAAAAAAAGAGATTTCTGTATGAAAAAAATGTCATAGTATAGTATGTTAAAAACTTCATATTTCAGCAAGAAAGACATTTTATATTCTAGTTTGCAATAAAAATGTCATAGTATTTTATGATAAAAATGTCATAGTATAGTATATTTCAAATTTAAAAATTTCATACGTTTGTGTCAAAAAATGTCATAGTATAGTATAAAAAAAATCATATTTCATCAAGAAAGAAAATTTTCACACTTTTTTTTTATTTTAAACTTTCTTTAAACACGCTTAAGCACAAAAACAGAATGTTGTGAAAAGTTTTGTTTACTTATTTTTTGCCCCAAAAAAGTACAATGTTCCTTTCTGCAGAACAATAAAGTATAAGATAAGTGGCTGTTGGTGTGGTCAACATTAGCTGCACCAGCCTTCAGTCCTTCTTACACATAGTTGTCCTCATTAACAGATTGCTCTGTTACCAGAAATGGGCTGTAAACTACTTTATCTCCATTTTCTGACAAACCGTGCCGTGCAAAGAGGAGCCATCTGCCACCTGGATTTATTAACATGAGTAGCAGAACATCATATGACGCTGTGATTTCTGTCCCTCTGTTTGTGTTTCAGGCTTTTTCATCACTTCACTTCCTGGAGAGACTAGACCTGAGTTTCAACCGGCTGCGCTGGCTTCCCCAGGACTTCTCCCAGACTCTGTCCTCCCTTCAGCAGCTCCGGCTGGACCACAACCTGCTGCTGCACCTGGACTCTGCTTCTCTGGCTGACTTCGAGAGCCTGAGGAAACTGGACCTCAGTTCAAACCGCATCAGGGTGATTGATGTCCGAGCTTTCAGCAGCCTGTCTCTGCTGAGCCACCTCAACCTGGAGAGGAACCGCCTGAACGTGCTGAGAGATGGTCTCTTGAGCAGACAGCAGAGTCTAGAGAGGCTGCTGCTGGGACACAACAACATCTCAGTGATCGAGACTGAAGCTCTGGCTCCCCTGAGGAGTCTGACCCTGCTGGGTTTACAGGGAAACCAGCTGGAGAGAGTCAGGTTCAAGACCTTCCTGAAGCTCCAAACCACCACCACCCACCTCCTCTTGTCCTCCAACCCCTGGATCTGCGACTGTGAGCTGCAGCGCGTCTTCAGCAAGATCCAGCATGTCAGACGTCTACGTGTATACGACTACGGGGACATTGTGTGTCACGCTCCTCCTCTGCAGGCCGGCAGCTCTCTGGCGTCTCTGGACAGTCAGCTGTGCGTGGCCGAGACGGCGTCAGTGCTGGTCATCACCATCACGGTGCTGCTCGCTGTGATCGGTGCTCTGGTCAAAGCAGAGCACAACAGGAAGAACAACCAGGCTTCGAGCGATACAGAGTCAGAGAAAGACGAGAAATGACGAGTTTCAGTCGGGATCAGGGGTCTTGGGACTGATGGAGCTGAATGTGGAGGCATCATGACGACATTTTATCATCTTTTTAGACTCTTGAGTTTAATATCAAGATCATTTACATTCATTTCTAACTGCACCGGCGATGGCATCCACATTTTTTGAATTCCTGACAATCACCAGCTGACACTTTTTGATATGTATCTGGCAACTCGCCTGCAATCTGTCTGTTTTGATCTCATCTCCATGTTTTTCGAAACTCCTCTCACTCAAAAACTTGAACCAAACGCAACAATTTCTGACAGTTTGGACAGTGTAGACGTGATTTCACTGGTTACATCATCACAGATGCCTTTTTAAATTAGGCGTCAAATCTGATACAAGCTGTGGACTTGAAGTCACTTTATTAGTCTAACACTAAAGTAACAGTATGCATCTTTTCTTCAACCAGTGAAGGAAAAAGCCCAGACTTGTAATCTGTCTACATACAGTTTTGTGCAGACACCTACTTTGAAGATAGCTAGTTTTAAAGCTTGTTTCCAGTGCAGTCTTGAAAACTGAACAAGAGAGTGAACAGGATGGCAGAGAAATGAAAGTTTGCACAGTTCAGAATGAAATAAAGACATCTTTAATGATGAAAATACTTGTACACTGACAATACTCCTCAGCACTTTTTCATATAAATGTGAACAGAATTGACACAGCAGGTAAAAAGCTGAATGTCTTCAATTTAATGAAATTCACAGCTTAAAGGTCCTCACACACCGGGGCCGTCGTGAATATAGAACGCTAAATTACGTAATATTCGGAGTCATCACACGCTCAAGCCAAATGGTCAGCACTTATAGCCAATCAGAGGTGAAGGAGGGCGGGACCTTCCCTTACTACAGCGTCCCGGGTGGAAACGAGAAGACAAAAATGGAGTCTACTTCGACTTCAAGTGGTGGCAAATTGGTGCTTCTTTTGCTTTCTCAAAAGAAAAAGAAACGTAGCACATGGGTGCATCCAATATTACAATAAAGAAGAGAACTTGTGAGTTTAACCGCTTGGTTCAGGAGCTGAAATTGTACCACAGTCGCTTCAGAACCTATTTTCGGATGTCCGTTGGACAATTTGAAGTTCTGCTGAAACAATTAGCTCCAAGTTTGAAAAGGCAGAGGACTAGACACTAGTGTTGAGATGGCTTTCTGTCATGATAGCATATACTGAGTCAGGACCAGTAACAGATAAGCACATGAAACTATGTTAACAACCGTTAGCTTACGTTAGCACAGATAAAAGTTAAGATGATTATCAAACTGTTAAAGCACACAAAACATCGTCATATGAGAAATCCGACACTATGACTCTCCACAAGTTGTCCTTCAGGTCGTTATCGTAATTTTTGTGTAAACGATCATAAACAATCAGCCGGTCGTGAAATCTGATTGGTCAGAAGTGGTCACACAGTATGCGAAACTTTAGAAAAATCGACCATGATCTGAAAAAATTAATGCCGCAATATCGCAGGACGGGAAAACGTTGCTGATGTGAACGCTTGTATTGACAGGATACGGGTTCGAAAAAGAAATATTGACGTCCGAAATAATCGCACGAAAAAAACACTCCTGGTGTGTAAGGACCTTTAAAGTAACACAAACAACTGGGTGTGTTACTCCAAAACCAGAACTCCACCAGCTGAATTTTATTTCCCTTTATTATCAAAAAAAATTTAACCAACTTTGTCGAACATAAAATGTTTAAGACTTTCATTTCAGAGTAAAATGAGCTCCCCGTAGTGTAGACAAAAATGTAAACATGTATCTGAATAAATTATAAAATTGCAAAAAAAGAAGCTACAATTTTTTTTCTTTTTCTTTTTACTTGCAAAAGCAGAAATAATCAACTGGAAGGCAAAAACAATCACTGCTGCTCACATCCAACAGTCTCAGTTTGAAGTGTCTGAATCCTGAGAGATCGCCGAGCTGCACCAGCCTCCATCACAAAAGTCAGGCTGTGACGTTGAAGCTCGTCAAAGTCATCCTGCGCGGACGCTCGGACCTGTTCAAAGTATCTGTGACAGCCTGAAGGGTGTTCACCCGTCCGTAGCAAGGATCAGCACCGCCCCGAAGATGCCCACGTTATGTCCGATCAGCTTCATCTGGTTCCAGAACTCCACCTTGCGCGTGTGGTGCCAGTAGCCTAAGTTCCCGTCGATGAGCAGGATCACCAGGGGCAGGACTGTGGACAGGATCTGAGCGGCCAGGCGGATGTACCAGCCGGAGAGGAAGGCCAGAGCCAGGACTCCGAACAGGACCTCCAGTAGGATCAGAGTGAGCTCTCCTCCAACAATGTGGTTCAGATAGGCCTGCTGGTCCTCTTTGCTGTGCTGGAGGGAGTACACCTAGTGACAGGAAAGCAGAACTATATTATTCATGATTACCCTGAGAACAAGATAACTATCCTGAAAGAAATTTAGCCTAAAAATGTTAGAAAGCTGCACAAAATGAGCTTCACAGGGTTCAAGGTGCGGTTTTACAATCAGGGTTCCTACACAGTTGGAATTTCAATACTTTTCCATACCAAACTTTTTAGAAATACCAATATCCAAATATCCATTTTAGAAAACAGTATTTTAGAACTGTGGTAATAGTCTGGAAACACAAATATTTTTCCACACTTTATTTTTAATTTTCCATACTTTTTAAGACCTGGAAATCAAATTTATTTCCATACTTGCGTAGGAACCCTGTAAAATGTTGTTTTGTCTAAGAAATGATCAAAAACAAACAAAACAAAACTAAAAAAATTTTAATTTTACAGAATGTATCATCTGTTTTATGGCTTTTATGGAAACTTCAGGTCAGGTCTGGAGTAGATTTTCGATTAATAGTCATGTGACAACTCTGTGTTAGTTCCGACAACATCACGAGTCTGAATGATAGTGAGGTGGTCGTCAAACTAAAACAGGTCTTACCATACAGATGAGGTAGACCCCCAGGAAGACTTGTCCTGTAGACTGCAGGGATCTGCTGCGAGCTTTCTGCCTGTACACCTCCCCTGCCCCGCTGGACAGAATCAGGAAACCTCCGATGATGGCGAGCGCTCTGGAGTACATCCGGACCTGCAGGGAAACACAGCTCAGGCTCAAAACTTCCACAAAGTATAATAATAATAAAACACATCAGTGTCAGATTATGTGTGACAGACACCAAACCGAGCCAACTTCATCTGATTTTACAGCGTTTTGAACAGTCTGAATGAAGAAAGCTGAGTGGAGTGCTCCTACAATAACTGACACGCTGGTTAAAAATGCAGCTGACTCACCTTCAGCCAGTCCCCGTAGTAAACCTGTTCTCCAATATACGAAGCGTAAGTGCTGACAGCCAGCTGGATGGCAGCAGCCATCGCAAACCACCTCCTCTTCACTCCGAAGGACATGAAGCTGGCGCAGAGCACTGCAGCACCCATGTCCACATACAGGTACGGTACATGGATGTCTGGCTTCCTGAAAATGACAATAAAAAGACAGTTATATCGAACCCTGTGGAATGTTACCTTGATAATGGTAATGTTTTGTTTTTCGTCAGTATCACACTGATCTATAACAGCGTGATAAAGAGCAGACAGGAGGCAAAAACTCTGAAGAAACTCATGGTGTTTGATGTGAATCACTTGCAGCTGTTGCCATGGATATTAGAGAATCTATTCTAATTAATCACGTGAAATTAATAGTTTAAAAATGTTCATTCAGACATGTTTTTCAACACTTTCAGCTCGACGTCGGCTTTAATAATCTTAGAAAGGCACAGAGTGAAAGTGAACAAACTGGCAGGTCTGATAAAAGCTGTTAGGGTTTCTTATCCTAAAATTTATTGTATGATATTTATTTGTTTCTATATTTCATTTTGAAAAGTTAATTTGCCCTATAGCTGTATAGAGGGATCAAATTGGTGTTCATTCATATTACTCAATAAACTCAATTGCGTTGCTGTCACAGCACCATTAGGTCTCGGTTGTTACCTTACGTTTATAGATTATAGTTTAATGTGCTTATCTGGTACTGGCCCCGACTCAGTACATGCTACCATGACATATATCATTATCAATTTATTGCCCAGCCCTACACTTGTATTTGACTAACAGTCGATATAAGACAGAGGAACTAGTGTTTGTTGACTCTCTAACCATCTTCTCCTGAGGTTAGGACATAATGACAGGATTATTTCAGAGGGTGTGGTTGTCTATAAGAGAGATCAGCCCACCACAGGCTGAAACAAAACACCCACAGGAGGTGTACACAGGAGGTTAGAACCAGGGTTTCTTTTTTTCCAGCTGATTAAAATTACAGCCCTCATCATCATCAAGGCAGAAAAATGAAAGAGGAGTCTGAAAATAACCTCTCAATGATGTCTGAACCACTCCAGACAGCTGCAGCTCTCTGACTGTGGTTACTTACATGTCATTTATAAACTACTAACTTTTTTATATTCACACTTTTCACGAAGAGATTTAAGGGAAAGACACTACATTGACACTAACATGTATTAAAGCGACGATAAAACCACACTGATCCAGATCATCTTTATCTCTAGGTTAGCTTTACTTAGCACACCGCTAACGTTGGGCGTCTAAAAGTGATAGTTTCATTCATTCTTTGTTACCTTTTCGAGTCCGCTCGTTCAGCAAACAGCATTAACATACTAAAACAGTTCCAAAATCCAAACCGGGTTAAAATAAAAGCTCCCAGCTGGCTGAGAAACCGTAACGTCTGCTTCCTGCTGGGAGCTGCCATGGCTGCTGCTGGAAACGGCACTGCAGCGGAGCTACAGTGAACTTCCGGGGAAAATACATGTAAATTTCAAAACAAAAGCTTTTGTCACCTTACAATGAGGAATGTGCGTATAATAGACGCAGCGGCTCTTATTTTGAAAAGACATCCTATATCGTGGCAGAGCGTCCTTCTATTGGCTGACGGATCCAGAATGGGTGGGACATTGTCGTGTAAGTGAGCAAAATAAACAATAACCCGACGCCGCCACCTAGAGGACAAAGTAGGTCATTGCAAAAGTGTGACACTCAGGTGTGTGACCAAAGACTATACACACTGTAGCTGCTATTTTAATTTACCCGCAAGGGAAGAGAGCCAAACACCTTTAATTATGTATTTTAATTTATTTCATTTAAAAAAACAGAAGTTTAAAAAGTGCTTTGACAAAAAGTTGTAAAGCACAGAATATTAGCACATGGGTTAAAAAAAAAAAAAAAAAAAAGCTCAGTTAAAACATGGCCTCCAAATGTATGCTAAAGTGTATGCTAAGTCTGTGAAGTATTTCCAGTTAGTATGTTATAATAAAACAGCTGAGATGATGATGATGATGATGTTTCAGTTAGATAACTCATATCTAAAATAGCTGTTCTGTCGATATACTGTACATTAAAACCACATAAAAAGGTGAAACCTGCACATTTTAACCACAGAAGACTTTTAGGTCATTGTATAGTCTTACCATGCAGATCTATTATTAAAGTACAACCTCCCTTACACTCATCAGAGCCAGTGACACATCCTGCCTCATAGTCAGTCTGACAATAAAAGTGATTCAATATGAAGTGTATATAATCCATATTAGCAGGGAGGGAAGTTTCTCATCAGGTGATCGGTTGCACTTACTGGTCGGTCATAGTGACAGTGACGTACCTCAGGTTAATCTGGAGTAGATGAGCCTAACCCAGATCCTGAAAAAGGCTTAGTGTGAGTCCTGCTGAAGGTTTAGTTAAGGATCAGGGACATGTCATGTCTCAGATGAAATGTCAGTTTGAGGTGGTTTATGGTGAAGAAAGACACTTGTTTGACATAAGAAACATGATTAGAAAAGGCGGTATATTCATCACATTTATGTGACACAAATTTCACTTTCACCTGATCCTCACTGTGATATCAACAAGCTTTTTTTATGTAACACACACATTTTTGTGCCTACATGCTTTCATCCAATAAAAACTGTGCTTGATGCAGAAGGGTTGTCGGTAATTACACTGGCTTATAGGTGGGACACAACCTGGATAGATTACTAAACGACACTACTGTTTGATGTTCACATTCAAGTCTTTTTTTCACTTGTTGTTTTTTGAATTTAAAGCTCCTATGAGGAACTTTTGGTTTGTAAATATTGGCGCCCCCTGTGGTCAAAACAGTCTTTGATTTTTTGTTCTATATACTGTATATGCTTCTGTAGCGCCTTCTGGCAAAAATGTCTCAATATCGTGATGTACAATTGCTAGCAAAAATGACTGTCAGTTTTGCACTGTGTAATTTTTAATGCCTGAAACCAGTGTGAGGGGTGAGGTGTCAGCCTGTTTTAATTAAAAAATAAAGTAAATAATTCATTTGGCCATCAAAAGTCAACAGGATGAGATTTTTTTGTCTTAAAACATTTTTTAAGCATGTAGAGGGTAAAATAAGCAGATTACTTTTTTCAGGGAGGATCACAAATCAAAAGTTACTCGCAGGAGCTTTAATGTGACAACTATAAAACCAAGGCTAAATCTTCAGCTGCTTTGCTGACAACTACCCTCACAGGTTCCAAGCATTAAAATTACAAAATTGATGGTCTATTTTTGCTTTTACATAGCATGAAAAGGCATCATTATGAACTTAAGTCTATATTTTAAACATAAAATAATTTCTCACAGGAGCTTTAATGAGTAAATGCAAAAAGACAATAGAGGAAAACTCAAACAACAACAACAAATGAAAAGTTACAACTAGGATACACAAAAAAGGAATATTGTGTAGCATTTATATACTGCAGATTTATTGGGGTTCAATTGTTCTGTTTTTGTAATAGCTCGATTGATTGGAGTGGCACTTCAAGTGACACATAAAATTAAATCAGTGGAAAACACATTTCATTATAACTGAAGATATATGTAAACGTATAGAAAATATAATTTATAATATATACTTTGTGCACATCTAACTCTTCTATTTACATTAAATCCCCCTCCAGTTTGTTTTGTACGCATAGTCATTCCAATATCCACATTCAGGGCTTATAACAGACAATGAGATGTTCACTATTGTTTCTTATTCAATGTCTCACTTTCTCCCTCGTGCATCTGTAGATCTGCATTGATCTGCGTTGTCCTACCTCCCTCCATCCTGTTCAGGGGTTATGGCTCCTGGTAGTTTAATCCCATCACGGGGGATTGGTGACATCAGGGCCAATCCTGTGCTGACCAGCGAGGATCAGCCTGGATGAAGAGCAGTGGGACAGAGGGGATCAGTCAGAGCGAAGAAGATACCAGAGACGAGGAAGGAATACAGTCGATGCGCTCCTAGGAGCCAACACTTTTTTCTGATTGTTGGGGACCCCGCCATTCAACCGGTGAGAAACTGTCTTTGCTGAATTTATCCTTATGCTGTTGTTAGGCTGTTTTGGCACCATTAAAACTTAATGACGTAGAAACAAAAACCGACTTTTGAGTGTTTGCTTCTTTCCTTTTACAGCAAGGATGGCTCGGGATATGTCAGATAAAGAAATCCTGAAAATGGAGTTGGAGCAGTTAAAGAAGGAAGTTAGCACACCTAGGACACCTGTGAGTAAACTGCTTTTCTTGCTTTCAGTTTTGAACAATATTATTTTGACATGATGTGGAAAAACACTTAAAAATAAAGTTGTAGGATGAACTTTGCTTATTTGTTTGTCCTCTCTCTGTCCGACTTTAGGTGGGTGCAAACTGCGCAGAAACCATTGCTTTTGTGGAGGGACTGCTGCCAAATGATCCCCTGATCAAGGGCGTCCCAGATGACAAGAACCCTTACAAGGGAGACAAGGGCGGCTGCATAATAACATAGCAGATAGACATCCAGGGAAAAGTCAGGCTGTTTTTTATGGGAGACGGTTACACTGCTGTAATGTTTCTGTAGAAGTGTTGTGGAGAAAATGTGCAGGAGTAGTAAAGAACAAGAGCCGTAAAGGTGTGAGAGACCCTTTTCCACCACTGGATTACTGTATGTACCTGTTGATATGAAAATGTTTCTTTATCAATTTGTAATTAAATCCAAATAGCTGTATGAAGCTTTGACCTGACCTGGCTGATGTCCTCTTTGATACTCTCTTGCATATCTCACTTTTACGACGCTTTTACTGCACCGTCATATCAAAGTATCACACAGGTTGACATAAAGTACTCTTTACCATGTACCGTTTACAGTCTAACATCTTTGATTGATAATTGTGACGCTGGAAGAGCAGGACAAAGTCACAGGAGTCGTGCTGCTGCTGCTTAGGCTAATTCTTAATAGGATTGGAGCCGGTCGCTCAGGCCTGTTGACACCGAGCTGCTTCCTGTATCAAAGTCTTTAAGCTTATTCCAGCAGCTTCAACTCGACTTCCATTTCAAGCTCTCCATCCAATTAGTGTCATTTTCAATCTGGGCTACAACAAAAGTGCACTGTTTGTTTATGGTTTGCAACAATACTCTTTACATTTTTACAAGCAGGTTCATAACAATAAAGACACGAGCGAAACCTTTTTGTTCCAACCTTCTGTGGCTGCAAGAGCTCTCGCCTTGTCCTATCTCCAAGAGTTAAGTGACCTAGTTATGGTCGATACTGCTGAGTCCTTGGTGGTTATTAATATTTGTACATTAAAATAAAAGTCTTGGCTTGTTATGATAGGAAAACAATAAGTATACAGTCATCAGCAGGTGTACTGAATTCTGAAACTCTAGACAAAACAGATAAACTTCAGCTTAAAGACATTAAAGCATTTGTTCCTGTTCAGGGGTGTGTCCAGGCTTTTTTGACCAGGGTGGCCCGACCTCACAACAGATAGACAGGGGTGGCCGGAGTATCATTTAGGTATCATAAAGCTGTCATGTTCCTATGTATCTTTTTGACTGTAAAAGGGAGCACAACAGAGTGAGGACACATAAGCCTCAGCTTAACTTTTCCAGGACTTTGAAGACATGATGATTGAGGGCACTGCTGAAAGAAAATTCAGAAGATTTTTTTTAAGTAGAAGGTTAGCGGTTAGATCCTAGCTGGTGCCAAAGTGTCCTTGGACACTGACTTGGTCCCAATGACAGAGTCAGCTGTGAGTGGATCTGTATAAATAGAAATAAGTTCATAATGAGGGTTCCCGACCACAGCATCCTCTGTCATCAGAGAATTAATCAATCAATCTTTATTTATACAACGCCAATTCATGTCATCCCTAACTGCTTAACAAAAAAGCTGGTCCAGACCGTACTCTGATAACAAAGACCTAATGTCAAGATGGGATCAGACTGATCCCTATTCCATAAGATCAGACCCACTCTGATCCCATCTTCATCCACATTAGTGTAGGACTTTGGGAAGACAAACAAACATGGAGGACGACTGATGTCATTAGCTAGCTGTCCTGTTTGAGGTTCGATTTTGCAGCAAAAAACAAATAATCATTTCTAGAAGTGAAAAGCGAGGACTGAGAGTGAGCTTGTTTAGCTCATGAACTCTTCTACTACAGAGCCATGCTGATGCACAACACAAGAAAATTCACTGTACACAACAAGAGCAACGCAAAACAGCACTAATATGGGAAATTTATATAATTAATATAATTATTATAAAATACAAACAGTGTAATTTAAAATATTAAATGGATGTCGGTCAATAAATAAACTGTTCTTGGAAAAGGCTCAATGAAAGCAAGATAAGATACAAAAAAGCCACTTAAACAGTGATGGCATCAATATTCAGGAAACTAGACACTAGCTAGTAAACTTATCTGACCTTTAAAATCAGTAGGGTAAATATTACAGGCGGTTTACCGGTTGTTTTCCACATTATCGCTGTTTCTGATTAAATCTTTGGCTCAAAGTCAAATGAAATAGGATGAGGGCAAAGTGCGTGCCGGGCAACAAGAGCTGAACATACAGTAGGAAAACGATCACTCAGATCATATTACTTCTAGATTTACATATGGAGAAAAGTAACATGGTTATATCAAGTTTTTAAAGTTTACAGAGTGAGTAAAACTTCTCAGTACCCCTCACTTTAACGTGGACATAAACACTCTCTTTATCAGACCTGAGATGTTGAAACTAAAGCAGCAAGACGGCTGTAAAGTCATAAACCTTGTCGCTGTATGTACATATATAGAGAATAACTAGTACTCAGTGTCTTCTTTATCTTAATTGTCTTATCAGATAAGGACAAGTGAGGATAAAAGTAATCACTGAAAGTTTCCTTCTCTTTGGAGAGGAGGAAAACAAGATGTGACATAACCTTCAGAGGACGACCTACAAAGCTACAACAATCGACACAGTCAACAGAGCTGTTTGCTCACTCTATTTGATGACCTTCAAATCTTTGTTCAAATTCTTCCCAATATTGATGGTTTTATTTTAATGTTTGTGCACAAAATGCCCACACTGCAATTTCCATGTACTTGAGAAGAGCTGGCACACTGTTATTGGGATCTCTGCAAAAAAAAAAAAAAAAAAAAAAAAAGGATCTTTCACCACTTTATCTTTATGGCGTCTCATAACAGAAAAAGTGTTACATGTCACCCTCCCTCAAACCTTTGACACCCAGCTTGATAAAAGCAGCCTGAGCAGCGCGCACAGTGAGCCTGAAAATACAGCTGCAGTGGAGAGAAAACGACTACAGACGAATACGGAGAGCGTTTGTTTTAAAAATGTGGCTGCTGATTTTCTTAGTCTGGGTGGTGGTGTGGGCAGGTGGGACATACTGGTACCTGTTTGGGAAAAAAAGCCCCTTCTCTCTGGAGTCGGTGAAACCCCCTGCTCCTCGGGAGTTTGATCAGAAGAAACGCGACAAAGTCATCAAACAAGGTAAAATTACTCCCTGAACTCTGCTGTGATTAGAGTCTACTGCTTATCATTTAACTGTAAAAGTGCTACAGCTATTAGGGAGGGATTTACTTTTTTCTGATGTGGTGAATGTTTCATAGAAATTTCAACCCCAAACTTTTAAAAGGTCCCATATGACATGTTATTTTAGGTTGTTAACTACATGTTTTACTAGACTTAAGTCAGACCGATAAATGATAAAAATGTCCTCTTATAGTTTATTAGTTTCCAAAAACATCGAATGTATCAAACAAAATAGATAAATAAATTTGTTAATTTTTAAGGACATTTTTATTTTTTTGGTTTTCAGTAGTAAGTGAAATAAATATTTCAGCTCCAAAAAAATAGGTGAATTTTCTGGCCTTAATTTGTGGTGTCAGGCATTAAAGGGCTACACCAGGTTTTAAATCATTCAGCAAAATTAAATCAATCAAAAAATTTGGCCTTTGTGGGGGATTTATCTGAGAGAGCAGGTATGCTATGATAAAGAAGTTCTGCACTGAGTAGTTACTTGCGTACTAAGGGGAGTTACAAACCAGAGCAGAATCCAGCAAAAGCTTAATTTAACAAAAAGTAGAATACAATATTTATTTGTTACTATTCAGGGTTTATACTGCAAGATTCTTTTACGCTGAAACAAATATGGCGAGCGCTCCAGGAGAACCCACACTAACACCAAGAGAGATATTGTGACACTTGCTCATCATCTCAAAACTCGAATTAAAAAAAAATCTATTTAAAACCTGTACCATATGAGGCTTTCTCTCCCATTAAAAATTTGTTATAGGTTTTATAAGTGTTGAGGTTCACTCATACGATTATCTGATTGACCTGCCTGCTCTGTCGTAACTAAGAGTTTGAATTGGACCTAAATCAGAGGGGGTAGTAATTAAACTTCATATGTGTTTTATCTTAATTAGATTATGACTAAGAGATAGTAAAATGTCTGTTATGTTTATTGCCGACTGAAGATTATCGGTACAGGATTACTGTACCTGGTTCAGCAGTTATGAGTTTATGACTGAAGAGGTGTTTTTAGTACAACTTTCTGCCATTTATGCAACTTTCCCTGATTTTTCAGTATCAGCACCTTGTCATAACATGAAGGCTTATTTTCACTGAGTAAACTGAAACTAAACTCTGTGATTCTGTCCAGGTTTCAGCCTCGACAAAGTGCCCAAGAACCTGGATGTCATCGTCATTGGGAGCGGTATTGGTGGACTGACAGCTGGAGCCACACTGGCCAAAGCAGGGAAGAAAGTCCTGGTGCTGGAGCAGCACGACCAGGCAGGAGGCTGCTGCCATACTTATGTAGAGAAAGGCTTCGAGTTTGATGTCGGTAAGATGGCTTAAAAATCTGAAATGCCCAATCTAGAAACAAATATATTCGGCCAAACCAAAGATGATATAAGGTGGGTTTGTTTCCGGTCTCTTCTAGGACTTCATTACATCGGTCAGCTCCATGAGAACAGTCTACTGCGCATCGCTTTTGACCAGATCACTGAAGGCCAGCTGGAGTTTCAGGAGCTAAAACCACACTTTGACACCATCCAGATTGGCCTTGGCGATGACAAACGGGAGTACACGGTCATTTCCGGTAAAACTGAAATGGAAGCCCACCTGCTGAAGCAATTCCCTGATGACACAGAGGCCATCAAGACGTTCTTCAAAATTATGAAGGTACTGTTTTTGGTGGAGCAGGTTTAACTCTAGCTCTATCTGTCCAAATACAATAACCCCAACTATGACTCTTCGGCGTTTTAACAGCTCTCAGCTAAGAAGACCCACTACCTGGCAACGCTGAAGCTGATCCCAAAGTGGGTTTCTTTATTCCTGCTCAAGTCAGGCATCGCAGACCTCATCTCACCAGTCTTCCGTATCAGTGGCACAAGTGCAACAGAGTATGTGAACACCCTGACCAGCAATAAGGATCTCCATCTCATCTTTTCTTATCTTTTCTATGGTGAGTCGTACAGAGGTCTGCAACCAGCTATCAATACCAGAAAACTGGAAATTATCAGGCGAATAAGTCTTGTTGCTCCAGAGCTAGACCTGAACATGATTCCGTCCGTATCCTTGGTTTTGTCCATCTTCAGGGGTGCCTCCAAAAGACTCCAGCGTCATGATCAACGCCCTCCTCATTCATCACTACAAACGAGGTGCTTACTACCCTAGAGGTGGAGCCAGCGAGATCCCCTTCCACATCATCCGCACCATCCAGAAACATGGAGGAAACTGTCTGGTCAGAGCTCCAGTCACCCAGATTCTGGTCAATGAGAAGGGAGCAGCTTACGGTGAGGAATAATATCAGTGTCTTCTAAAAAGGTGGATATTTTCCAGGTAGCTGACTGCAACCCTTCTTTGTGTGACAGGTGTGAAAGTAAAGAAAGGTCAAGAAGAGGTCGAGGTTCATGCACCTGTGGTGGTGTCGAATTGTGGTGTTTTCACCACCTTTCAGAAGCTTCTTCCCCCTGAGATTCAAGTCAAGACGGGTAAAAGAAAACCCTCTAAAAAATGAACAAATGAATTCTTCATTGTTTCAGATAATAAAGTGAAATAAGGTGGAAACTGTCAAGTGATTTTAAAGTGTTCATGTTTTAGATGTCCAAGAGAGATTGAACATGATGAAGCATGGCAGAGGATCGTTCTTGGTCTTCTCTGGCTTTGATGGAACTCAAGAAGAGTTGGGTCTGGAGTCCACCAACTACTGGCTGTTCAAAGATAATGACATGGACAAGTCGTAAGTATGCAGAGCAGTGATTACAATGGAAACTGTCTGCAGGTAGTGGTTGAATCACCAGAAGGGGGCAATATTGGATCAGAAGTGAACACTCAATAACACCACAGAGACAAAACTAACCCCACTTCACCTGCTTACTGAGACACTGATCCTCTTGTAAAGGTTGACATTCAGGAAAGACCTTTGTTACTGAAGCTCATTTAGTTATGCAGCTAATTTCTGTAAACAGAATTAAAGAAACACTCTTTACCATGCTACAGTTGCCTTTTTATCCTCTAGAGGGAGCAGAAGCTCAGCCAGATTTCAGCTCCAGGATTTAAATACCATCCTTTGAGTTCTTTCATGTGGGGCTTCACAGCAGATTAATGCAGCAAAGACTGGTCTGACTGAGGAATGATGACATGGATGTTAAAATATCTCTGTTTTTTGTTTGTAAGGATGGAAAACTTCTTTGCTTTGGGTAAAGAAGAAGCACCAGACAATATCCCCATGATGTTCATCACGATGCCCTCTGCTAAAGACCCTGAGTCCAACATAAGACACCCTGGTACATCCACTGTTTATTTTCTTTAGTTGCAAAAGCAAGTTATGAAGACATGATCTCTAACAGATTCAAAATACTGATGCATGTGTGTGAGTTGTGTGTGAGTTATGTATGTTATGTGTTTCACGTTCCCAGGGAAATCCTGCATGACAATACTGACGATGGTGAAGTACGAATGGTTTGAGGAGTGGACGGACACAACGGTGCGCAAAAGGGGTGACGACTACTACAACTACAAAATGAGATTCGCTGAGAATCTCTTTGCTTGGGCCTGTACTCTGTTTCCTAAAATCAAAGACAAGGTAAGATCAGTCAGAGTCATACATATATGTAAGTATTCACATTGTAAAGACTTTATTCTGGCACCAGTGAACTCGGGGTACATGAAATAGGGTGGTATGGTTTTGATCCGAGACTTCTTTCGCAAACACCCACTTTCTTTGACTTGTCATTTTGTGCAGCCGCTGACCAAATTCAAAAATACATTTGTTACTGGTTTGTCTGTTCTGTGTTATGGTAGAAACATAGCAGTGCAAGATAGTAGCCCCAAGATGCAAGATGCAAGATAGTAGTATACACTAATCTAAACATACTTATAAATATGCACATCCCATTTCTTCCAAGCCTGTTCCGCTTGCTAAATGTGTAATGTCTGTCAAAAACAAAATCACAATTATCTGGTTTCTTTTAGTTGGTTTTCCAGGATGTGGCGACCCCGCTGAGCAACATGCACTACCTCGGAGCCCAGCGTGGAGCCATGTACTCTGCTGAGCACAACCTGGAACGTTTCCAGGCTGAGGCCGTGGCGAGGAACAGGAGTGACACCCCTGTGAAAAACCTCTTCATCTCAGGTACAAATCTTACCGACATGGAGAAAAGTTGAGCAGAGTCAGAACTTCATGTTTTTACTTTGTTGTGAGTGAGAGAAGTTTTCACAGTAGGTCATTCACTTGAAACAGGAGAGCTGGTTTTGCTTTGAGAGTGAGGCTTTTTTACAGTTTGATCTTTTGCATGTGAAACTGGTTCAAACAGTTTTAAAAAGAGGAGGAAACAAAGGCTTGTCAAGGGAAACACTACCTAGGGGGAGACAGAGACAATAATCCAAACCCAGACTTGTCTTTTCCCATCAGGAAAGTTTTATGCGTGTCTTTTTTTTTTCTTTTCCCAGGCCAGGACGTGTTCAGCTGTGGGATAGCTGGCGCTCTACACGGTGGACTCTTGTGCGCCGCCACAGTGTTGGATCACATCATCTACATCGACTTGCTTTTCCTCAAGAAGAAGTTGAAGAGGAGGAAAGCCAAAGAGTTGGCCCTGATGGCAAAGAAGAAGCTGTAGTGAGAGAGCTCGCTACTTCCCCTGTAGGACATTAATGGAACTACACAAACCTAAAGCAAAGGGACTCTTGAAGGAAACAACAGCACATCCCAGATTTATTTAAGGCTTTTGATTTGTAAAATATTAACTTGTGTTGTTTGCAAATTTTTCTGTCAGATATGAAGAATAGATTATGTGAGCTGATTGTTCCAAAATAGAAAATTAGGGCACTTTAAAACAGGAATTAACATGAAAAACTCCACAAGATTGATTCATATTTTAAGTTGTTTGAGCTTACTTAATTTCGTTTTTACCAGAAAAATAGTCAAAAAACATCAGCGATAATTATGTGTCCCTGGTGGATTATACAGTTTGGTAATCTATCATATGCTAGACTGACCAGCGCCTAGTTAGTTGTTAATAAATACACCAACTATCTACATAAGACATATCTACATAATAAACTGCACAGCATCATTGCATACTGGTGCTTTTTGAATACATTTAAAGAGCCATTTTACATTAATTTAAACCAAGATAGGCCTCCTGCTATGAAATCATCAAATTCATAAACAGATGTGATTCAGTCCAAAGAAAGTTACAGTCACATTTTTACCAGTAGTGGTATTTGCATCAATTTCAGGTGACAATTTCACCTCTGGATGATCTAAAAATAATATATATGGACATCAAGTCTGTCAATATCCTCTTCACATGACTTTTTTTTACAATAATTAGAAGTTTTCTTTATTGGTGATAGTAAGAACTTAAAGATCTAAGATAAAACATTGGCTTAGCTTTTATGCTGTATAAAAAATGACTGTACTAGGGTCTATTTTTTTGGCATATTCTGTAGTTAATGCTCAAGAAAGCATAAAGTATATACACTCCTGTTTGTCCTATTCTGTAGATTTTTTTGTCTTTATTAAAAATGTAATTAATACCTGTCAAATATGTCTAAATATGTAGATCTATATTTGAAACTGAGATCTTACATAATAACACTGCAGAAACATCCTTTTTTAGAACCTGATTATGTTTATATAAGCATAAAATATAAATAAATAAAATCAAATATCATGAAAAATCATTTATCCATTAGGAATAATCATCAAAAACTATTAAAGGAACATTTTTGTAATTATTTACGTATCACTTACAAGTGATTTGAGTTTACAAGTCCCCTCTGGGTTTTGGTTCCCACCTATGTTGTTCTGACCTGACTTGTAACCCCACTGATGTTTGGCTAACTGCTTGAATCAAACATATGAGGGGAAACCTCAGACTTCCTGCACTAAGTGAACATTTCCTCAGTAAACGTTGGGCAGATTGGCTGACAAACTGTGGTCCACGGGAGACGACAGAGGGGATCCGAGGAGAAGAATGCCCCCTCTGTCCAGGCAGCCGGTGGGATGCCAGTGCCTCTCCTGCTCAGTTTACCTCCATCCCTCTGCTGTACGACTCAGGGAAAGGTCTGCCTGCCCCTCTCATGGACCGGTCTCTACACCAGACCACCAGACATCTTCTTTATGAATAAAAAAAACAAAAACTAAGGCAGGTTTAAAGAACAGGGAGCGAAATAGTAGGGAGAAGAGTTAATTATATTGACTTTGCCTGACTGGAAGTTGAGTAGACTATAACGTATAATTACCATGGCATGATAAAGGCCAGTCTTTCCCCAGGATTAAACATAGCATCCATGGCTCCATACTTTCCAACTCTTACTTTCCTGCTCTGTGGCAGAGCTGCAACAAAGCTATAAAACGTCATAAATTACCATCACTGGTAATGAAAGAAAGCTCATTATGGCCTCACAGGTGTATTACTTTTAAACTTTAAATTGCTCTTTTGGTTTTAGGCTTTTTTTGTTCTCTCTTCTAAAGGTGGTAGGTTTTTTAAAATGTATTTTTTTGGGTACAGTCATAAAAATGTGTGCATATAGCCGGGTGTCAACATTAACGCAATGTTTATTCAGTTTTATCTTCATTTGATTCACTAAACTGTGCAGAACTGAGGAGGAATTTTAGGTTCCCTTGACCAGCACAAGCACAACCACCACCCCCGTCCTCTTTTCTCCTGTTTCAGACGGCTCCCACATGTTCAGACTCGCTTACACCAGGAGAGGCCCAAAGGGTCCGATCTTAAAAACAGCGGTCCACTCTTTCCACTCCCTCAGACACTTTGTCCAAAACCCTCCACACAGACGATAAATGCTTTTAAATCAAGCATCTATCTCTAAAGGTGTAGTTCAGCAGTGATTGACCAAAACTCAATCCTGAGGACCTTTAAAGACACAAAGCCAACAGTGAACTTGCAAACACTGTAGCGGGAGGTTTGGCTGAGAGAAAAATTCATGTTGCTTTGCTCTTGTCTCTGAGTTGCAGCCAGCTTTCCTTCTTTTCCAGATGTTGGAGCTCCTCCCCGCTGGCCTGCCGGAGCCTCCCACAGCTTGAATCCAGCCAACAACCACAGCTGCTACCAATCTGAAGAGCCTTGCAAAAGAAAGTTTCAGACGACCCAGATGAGAGGAAGACCCAGTCTGAAGATAGTGCCCAGGATCAGACTGGGCTTAAAGCCATGGGCAGGTGGTAAAAAGCATCACCAGCCAATTTCACGGTGACTCATCCGTAATCGAAATCTGTTAGTTAAATTGGACATAGATTAAATTATTAACGTCAAAATAGATGGGATTTTAAGGCCTGATCTACAGAAGAGAGAAAGTGATATCTCAAATTTCTGTTTCAGTGATTTAAACTGAACTAGACGAGATCTTTTTTTCCTGCTCAGCAAAGATCAAAAACATCGTCTCTGGTGTCGCCTGAAAGCTGCTGCGTGAGGCCAACTTTCTGTTGAGCTAAATGGAAAGTCCAAGAAAACGGCGTCTTTCCCAAACCCTTCCTCTGTCTGAAGAATCTCTCTACAATCTGAAACACAGCTCGTCTACATGCCTGCAAACTTGGACCTTTGACTCATGTAAAACTAGTGACTAGACCAAGCAAAAGCACCTAAAAACCAGCTCTGGTATGTGAACGATACTGTGAAGAGTCGTTTTGGAGCTGGAGGAGGTAGGTCATGCAGGGCCAAATGATCAAGATCAGCAAAAAGAGCCTGAATCCCCATCAATAAGATCTACCCTGAGGTTGTGTCTCTGAGGAAGAGGACAAATCAAAACCCTGCTCTCATGTGGTAAGATGGATCCAAGGCAACTTGAGCAAGTTTATACACCCTATGTAGATTTTAAGTATTCCATGGATCTTCATGAATATAATGCGTTTGGGGTAAATCTTGAATTGGAAACATGAACAGAAAACACAGAAAGTTAAAGCTCCTGGAACAAACTTTCACCTTGTGTTAATTTTGGCGCCCCCCCTGTGGACAAAGCAGGCAATACTCATTTTTTAATCTACATGCTTCTATTTGCAGACATTTAACAGTCGAGTATATGATAGGGTGACCGTAGTCTGAATCCCCAAAGAGAGGACATGTCTATGCGGGGGGAAAAGTCAAGGAGTCGCACCAAGTTAATTTGCGAGTTTTTCGGGTCAGATTGAGTGTCTTTTATGTGCTTCTAACTCACGAATTTGGAGTGACACAAACTTAAAACTTCCATATATAACCCTGGACATTTAAAGGATTTTATAAACTTCCCCAGACAACACCGGACAGCCCTCCAAAAAGAGGACATGTCCGGGTGGAAGAGGACGTATGGTCACCATAGTATATCATTTATTGTTAACACCAGTAGTTGGCTGATGCCTACCCCTTCACAACAAAATATTATCAGATTAAAATAGTCCATGTTGTTGTTGATAGTCTTGTTTGCTTTTAGATATCATAAAAAGTATCAATAAGAATTTTAGTCCCTTTTATAAACATGAAAAAAATCTTCATGGTAGCTTTAATGGTCATATTATACTTCTAATAAGCTTCCTTTTCTCTGAGTTTCACTTTTAATCTCATCTATGAGGGCTTTAGTTTGTCATGTTCTCCTGTGGATTTTACATGTGTCACCCTGCCACCCTTCTGCAGCTCCCTTGCCTTTATCACCTTTTCTCAATCTGATCCTCCCATCTGGAGTGGGAATGTATCGTGGCAGGCCTCTACTTTCCCTTCTCAGCTGTTTGTAATATGTCCTGTGAAGCTGCTCTGCATGATTCAGATTGGGTGAGAGAAAAGAAGGAAAGGCAGGATTATTGAGGCCCAGGATAGGAAAATAAATTGGCTCAACTTTGTATTTAAGTAGAACCAAGTCATCATAGTGGGCTTTACTTTTGCAGTAAAGCTTCTTCTCCAGTGCCAAGTCGTTCAACTCTGCACCTGGCAACAACAAACAGCTGACCTTTGACACCCAGGCTGCCTTTAAAGATCCAAACTTAAGGTCCGACTCTCACCTTTACTTCTTTTTTTTTAAGACATGCAGCAGATCGGCGCCGTCAGTGAGAAAACAAAAGTAATCACCACCTGCTGGACCGCAAAGCCACAACACTTGATTATGTGATCATAGTTTACAAAGCTTCAGGGCTGGGCTGAGGATAAGAATCTCTGGCTGCAATCCAGCACTGACAACCTTAGATGTTTGTCAGTTACAGAAGCGAATTCAGACATTTTATACTCGTATTATTATCATTATTATGTGACATTTAAGAAGTGAACATTAAATGATACAACACAAAACAATAATCCTGTGGTGTGATAAGAAGTCTCTCAAATCTTTCGCACCCATCTGCACTCTGTGTCGACAGCTCCTCCTCCTCTTCCCAGTGGATGCTTAAGACATGATCCACACTTCTCAAATTTCATCCCACCACCTCTGCAACGAGCCCACCCTCCGCTGAGTAACCCTCATCAGACTAATGCATCCGCATTCGTCATCAGCTGCGCTCTGTGTTTACATGGTGAGCCAGCCTGTGCAGTTTTGTTTGAGTCTGAACTACTTGGAGATCATATGCACTAGAGGGGGCTCTTCTGTGAGTGTGATCCAAACCAACCCCCATGAAGAAATGACTCCTCGACACATGGTT